TCCGGGAGTATGAAAGGATACTAACGAAATGAGTAGACAGAATATGTCTAAACTATCCAACATACATATATATATATATATATATATATATATATATATATACACATGTATTTTAATAAATAAATTGTCGGACCTTGTCCATTTCTTAACATATATATATGTATCTTGCTTTACTCCCATGACCTCTTTAACCAGAACACATCTACCTTCCAATTCAAACTCCCAGTGTGAGAATTCCAAAGTTTATATTTAAACTGGGACAGAGAGACAAAACTAAAAAATTGAAGTCATATGAAAAGTTTTGTCATGACCCACTTATGTAATATTATCAAACTATTGAATTCCATGCCCAAGCAACTCAGTAATGTTTAATGAGATTAATCTTGTTGAACTTTACCATGGAGTGTGATCCTCACTGGGTGTCTAGTTTGTGCCTGTTTACTTACTTGACATTACATAACTCAAGAGTTCAAAGATTGACATTGTAAAATTCTAAGGTGACCTAACACACTGTTAACATTTATTATAGTATTAAGATAAAATAAAATTAAAGTAATAAAAATGTCGGATTAAAAAAAAAAAGAAAAATTTATATATATATATATATATATATATATAAGTGATTTTCCAAGTGTAGCTTAGATGTGGCACAAGGCCGAAAGTATGGGGCACCCAGTGAGGAGTGAACTCACTACTCAGTCGTAATAGTTCTAGCAAGACAAGCTTGCTAACCATTGCACCACCTTGAGGTGTCCGATATATATATAATCCATCAGATCTTTAGAAATTTTCTTTTTTACATTTCAGATGAAAATCCGAGCAGACGTAGTCTTTTGAAAAAAAATATCTAAATGAAGAAGTGTGCTTTCCGTAAAAGGGAAAAATAAGGCCCCATTTAACTTTGGTGCTTTCAGTAGCCAAGTGATAAAGCATAATTAACAAAATGATAGTTTTTCCTAAAAAAAAGGGGGACATAAGTTCCATACCTGCCAGAGGAACATTTTCTTTATCAAGATTTCTTGAATGCACAGGCTGACAGACAAAATACACAATTTCAAATATGCTTGTCCACTATCATAACGAATATTAAGTTCATATATAAGAATTGACATGAAATATCTAAAGTCTGTAAGATGGAATATGTGGAAACAGATTGGAGGCTTTCATTTTTTATTATTTTCTTTAACTTTTTTTTTTTTTTTTACAGGTTCTACCCTATACATAATAATAATGATAGCTGGCTACTTGTTTCCGAGTACACTTAACTGCAACAGTGGCTAGTAAACCCTGTTGCAGACACCTGATCAGGTACAGTGTGTTTCATATAATATATATATATATAAATACACACACACACAAGTTGGGTCTGTGGTTGTTGAAGAAATACAATGTTCTGATCAGGTGTCCGCAACAGGGATTTGCTAGCCTCTGTTGCTGGTGAAGAATGTACTAACAAACAAGTAGCCAGCTATCATTATTATATATAGGTAGAACCTGCAAAAAAAAAAAAAAAAAAAAAAAAAAAACAAAACAAAACAAAACAACAAAACAAAACAAAAACAATTGGATATGTTTGCTTTTCGTTTTATTTTTTTTCAGGGGGGGTGGAAGGGTAAAGAAAATAATAAAAAAATGAAAGCCTCCAATCCAATCTGTTTCCACATATTCCATCTTACAGAGTTTAGAGATTTCATGTCAATTGTTTATAAGATTATTAAGCATATATTAATAAAAATACATAATCTCCTACACTGACACGATTCAGAGTTTCATATACCATGCAATCAATTGTGTGGTGCATGAAACTCAGTATATTATAGAATTGCACTGAAGATTGCAAGAATTGCATGAAACTCAGAGTTGCACATTGGATATTATTATATATATTCACTTGTGTGTATGTATGGACACTGTGGTCAACACCGAGTGGCAACAGTCCGTTTCATACTTGAATGCACTCTTCAGGCCTATATTTATGCTCTATCTCTGATATTGAGCACTTTTCACCATACCTTAAAATTATATTTTTAATTTTATATTAATGTTAGTATATACAGTGAAACACACAAAATATGTACTTTAAAGTTTAAAAAGAAAAAGTACAGTGCTGGATATTTACTTAGTTCACCTCAGTATCCGATAATATACATAAAAAAAAAAAACTAAAACTAAAAAATGTCTTGGGATTCCCATTTAAAATCGAGTTGTCTTGAATGTCAATTTTACACTTTTTTTTATCCAGACAAAGTAGACTAAAAAATAGCAGTAATTTAGTAGTCTAATTATAAATTTGATACTAATGTAAATATAAGTGAGGGCCTTATGTGACGTGAATAATTTTTTTTTTAAAGAATTTTCTGTATTTTACTTTAAATACCTCCTACCAAATATTGTAGGAGTAAGTTCTTGACTTTGGGGGTGTCACCATAAAAAGCAACCTGAACCCTTACATAATAAAAGAAAAGAGAAAAAAAAAAGAAAAAAACGCCCATGTAAATTTCACGCAGAATAAATAAAAATGAAAAATGCATTTTTATTTTATATATTTTAAAAAATTTATTAGTCATTTTTAACAAGCAACGTGGCTAAATGAAAATTTCGTGAAACGGGAAGACAGTGATATGGTCCGTTTGGAATACAAGAATAAAGTTGATATTTTAAGAGATACAACCTGTCCCTTAATAAAAGAATTAGCAAGGAAAGAGGAAAGCTTTGAAATGTCGTCTACACAAAAATCACAATCCTAAAAAGATTAACAACAATAAAATCAGGTTGTTGAAAGAAGCGAGTCGATGGTTTGAAAATAAATAAGGATAAAAATAAAATTGCAATTTGGTTTCAAATAATAATAATAATAAAATAATTACCCGATAAGTAAAAAATTAAAAAAAAAGAAAAAAAAGCTGATTAAAACTTTTTAGTATTTATTTATTTAGTAATTATTTGTTTGGTACGTAACTATGGTGAGTGCTCCCCACCAAAGTAGGTATGTTCAACACTTCGCTAAAAAAGAGCATACCATAAAGAAAAAAAAAAGGGCCCTAAACTTGATTAAACAATTTCTAAAATGTTTATGTTATTATTAAGAGGAAAGACCACTATTTACATTAAAAGATCAAAGTATTTTTTGATTATTTTTTGAAATTATTTAATCCTTTCTAGCATTCTGGACCAAAAACTATCAAAATCGTAACCTTGATAAAATTTAAAAACGATATATAACAGAACTGAACAAGAACTATTTTGTAAACAATTCTTATTATATAATAAAGATAACGTTTAATTTACTACACACAAATTAACAATCTTTTCTGACCATGAATTATTTGCAGCTTTGTTGCAGGACTTCCAATGTCATTTAAGTTCGAGTTACAGAAAGTTGTGTAAGAAGAAGGTATACATTCATTACAATATATACAAACTTCTTTGCCTTGATCAATCAATCAATGTATAATTAATCACAGAGCCGGTAAATTGGTATTAAAAAGCAAGAATTAAGTTAATAACATTAAATACTGTAAAGAAAAAAAAAACAAAAAAAAACACGAAAAAAGTGGTTTTCCTGGAGGTTGGTGACCTTGACTTTTTTTAATAGGACGAACCGGTCGAAATCTTCAATTCAAAGGAATTAACTAATTTATTTATTTTTTTTAGATTAAATTTTGGTGAGTGTCAAACACGAAATTTAAAAATGAAGGCGATTTAAAAAAATAAAATAAATAAATTTGGTCACCCTGAAAATAACATGAAAATTTACAAAGACTTTAATGAACTTTGCATTTCCGTCACTCAGGTTGGGATCTTAAAAACAATAAAGTGCGAGTAACAATGAATTTAACTAACAGTTCAGTTTTAGAGAATCTGGTGGGGAAAATACTGTATGTATCCTTATTTCATTTATGTTACTAATTAAGTTTTGGAAAGGTAAAACTAAAACAAGAAAAATAAAACGTACAGATATTTATTAGCATTTTTTTTTTAGGAGTCATCTGCCTTTATCACTAATTCACATAATTGGTAAATAGTGGACACTTTCTGTTTTACTTTTAGTCTGAAAACTATTTCTTTACCAATTAATAGGAATAGTTTCTTGAAAGTAGCAAAATTAAAGACAAAAATAAAATGATTGCAATACACATTTTTTTTTTTTAGATGGAGAAGTTTGTACTTAATAAAAAAATCCATTGTTGAACTTTGTTGTCAGAAGATTTGAAGCTTTTTTTGTTAAATAATTATTATTTTGAAGTAATATTTAAAAATATTACTTCAAAATAATAATTATTAAAAACAATAATAATCAGTTGAAAATTTCCAATTTTTGTAATTAAAACAAAAGTTTTTTTAAGTAATATTTTAAATTTTATTATTTATATATGAAATCGCTAGAACAAAAAAAAAAGAGCATATTATAGCATGATAAAAACGGCCTTAAACTTGATAAAAACGAAATTTTATCGTCTAAATGTCTATATTATTAAGAGAAAAGACCGAAGTATTTTTTGATTATTTTTTTAAACATTTTTGCATCCTTTTTAAACATTAATAATTTAAATTTAAAACAGAATTTATTATTTAAGTACCAAATTTTGGATTCTGAACATAAAAAATGGCTTTAAAACTAAAAGTAAGAAGACTTATAAAATCGAAAGGAAGATAATCTGGAGAAGAAGAAAAAAAGCATTAAAAACACCAAAGATAAAGACAGATAATAACAAGGACGTGTGTCGTATTTAATCAGACACTTTGCTATGAAACCGATCAGACAAACCGACATTATTAAAATAAAAACTCAGGATCTTGACAAAGAGATAGAGTCAAGGCCATAAATAAAACAAATATGGGTTCTTTTGTGATATAGCTAATTTGTTGTTGTTTTTTTTTTTAATATTTTAGAGAAGGTATATTTAAAAATAATAAAGAATGGTGATTAAGACTCTCTTAGAGTTCTTAAAGAATAATAATAAAAATGACCTGCAAATGTGGTCAGTGGTTCAACTCACCCGGCCAGACCACCGAATAAGAATTTGATTCCATTTGGAATAGGTTGTGACGGAGCCGCTTTTACAACGGGTGGAGGTGAATCAACTTTGGCCTCTGGGGCTGCCACTTCGGCCGGAACCGCCACAGAATTGGTAACTGTTGCACTTGTAGTCGGTGGGTTTACCTCTGACATGATTTCGGCAACAAAAAACGTTTACTTAACAACAATATAGTACAGTATCCCTGGCCGACAACGTTGCCTCCTCTTCTTCTTGTATCAATGTATATAAACTTTAAGTACGCCTAAATGTCCTCGACCTTCTACCAAAGCCTCCACATGCTTATAAATCTGTGGTAGAGGTTGATAATCAAGGCAGAATGTGCTTGGGTTACACTGCTGCTACCTCAAAGCTCGCACTTAGCAGGATATTTTTTTCATTTTATTATTATTATTGCTTTTCCACCTTCAGGTTTATTTTAGTTTTAATTATTAAAATAACATTTAGGAAAAATTATTAAAATATCTAAGAAGTAATTATTACTTATTAGCAATCAGAATTTCGTCAAAAGTGTACTTTTTTTTTCTGTTGCAAATTATTAAGCATTTCTGACGAATGACATTTTGAAAATAATCATTTTTATTTAAACTAACAATTAAAAAGTTTGAATTAAAAGCTACTATATTTTTAAAAATAATTCCCAAACAAGGGAATTAAATTTTGTGATTTTTTTCCATATAAAACTGGGTTGAATCTATGATGGTAAAATAAAATAAAAATTAAAAACATTTTGAAAAATTATTTTCATGGTACAGATTTATTAAAAATATTTTAAGCTTTTAAATATTTATTTTATAAATTATTCACGTATATATATATATATATATATATATATATATATATATATATATATATATATATATATATATACGTGAATAATTTATAGAATTTATTATATAATTATATATATATATATAAATATATATATGTGTGTGTGTGTGTTAGTGCATGTGTGTATTATGTGTATAAATGAATAATAAATAAACATCTAAAAATCTTAAAATATTTTTTTTGCATTGTATTATCTATCTATCTATCTATCTATCTATCTATCTATCTATCTAACTATCTATCTATCTATCTAACTACCTAAGGCTAATAATTAAATAGTAAACAAGTTTTGAGGGAAATTTAAATATAAATTTTAAAAAATCAGGCTTTTGTGGAAAATAAGCAAAAATAAGAAAAATGTTTACTTTTAATTTTATAAGTTATCATAAAAAAAGCGAAAATTTTACTTTTTTTTTCGTAGGTCATTTCAAGTGAAAGTAATGCAAAATGAAAAAGGTTTATTTGAAAAATAGTAGACAAAGAAAGTAAATAAACTTAAAATAAAAAGAATGAGAATGAAGCCACGGACCATTCATTTTATTTTTATTTTTATGAAGATTGGCGCAACTCAATCTTCTTGCTTCTATTCCCTCCCCTCTATATTTGTGTCATAACTAAATTTATTAATAGCTCGCTCCACAGCGGGGTATTAATAAAAAAATAAAATCATTTAAAAAAATAATTAAAATAAAATTATTAAAAAAAACATTTCAAGAAGTGGAAGTCCATTGCGATAAATGACATTTTACAGCTGACTGCACAAATTTCACCCAACCCAATGAAAATCTTTCTCATCGGGGCAGGGGACTCTTAAAGAGGTTAGTCTTCCATGGGATTATGTGTCTAGGGCACCCAGTGAGATTCGAACTTTAACTGACTAAATTGGTCTGCAGGAGAGAAGTTAAGTTTGCTAACCACCGATAAAGAATATAATATATTTTTTTAATGAATGAAACATTAAAAATACTTATCGAATCAACCTTTTTGTGCAGCTATTACTTAAAGAAAGTAATAAATAAATAAAAAAAAAACACCCACCCTTTTTAAAAAAAAAAATCCTTCTTGCACATTGGATTTTTGTATCACTGTCCAGTCCACACTACCACACCTCTCTCTTGTTCTAAGTCTAAACTTACCCATTTTTTGGCCTAACAAGCAAAATATTTCTGTAGATAGTGGGGGGGGGGGTGGAAACTATAGATATCAGATTATAGAGTTTTTTTTTGGGTTTTAACTTTTAACCTAAATTTTATTTTCAGTATTTACTTTGTGTGTTAATGTTAACAATATACTCAAGAAGAAAAGAATTGTCAGTAGTCATGAAGTAAATGAAAGCTTTACATAGAGAACAACACATAGCTATTAATTTTTTTCATAAAAAATGCACTGAAAATTATCAAGAAAGTGGTTTGCCAGTTGTTGGCTATTGTACACATAATGTAAATGAATTGCTAATGGCTTTAAATGCATTGAAAATCAGGAAGTAAGTGACTGTCAGTGATCAGTAATTAAATGCATGTAAGAATTGTTGAACGAATATGCCAACGGCTATTATGTATTGCTAAAACTACAAAAATGCATTGAATGTTACGAAAGTGATTGTCAGTGAACAGGAATGAAAGCAAGCACTTCTAACAGCACAGAGCTATTAATTAAAAGCACCAAAAGTGATCTTATTATACTTTATAGGATTGCACTGAAAATGATTTTTATTATAGAAATGCATGGGAAATGACTTTATTATAGGAATGCACTGAAAATGATTTTATTTTTATTATAGGATTGCATTGAAAATTATTTTAATATACAAATGCACTGAAAATGATTTTATTATAGAAATGCATTGTAAATGATTTTATTATAGGTGTGCACTGAAAATGATTTTAATATAGAAATGCACTGAAAATGATTTTTTATAGAAATGCATTGTAAATGATTTTATTATAGAAATGCACTAAAAATGATTTTATTATAGATATTGCACTAAAAATAATTTTAATATATGAAGGCACTAAAAATGATTTTATTATAGGTATTGCACTAAGATGATTTTATTATAGATGTGCATTAAAAATGATTTTTTATAGAAATACATTGTAAATGGTTTTATTATAGGTGTGCACTGAAATGATTTTATTATAGTTATTGCATTAAAAATGATTTTATTATAAGTGTGCACTGAAAATAATTTTTATAGAAATGCATTGTAAATCATTTTATTATATGTATGCACTGAAAATGATTTTATTGCACTAAATAAGATTTTAATATTGAAATGCATTGAAACTGATTTTATTATAGATATTGCACTAAAAATAATTTTATTATAGGTGTGCACTAAAAATGATTTTTGATAGAAATGCATTGTAAATGATTTTGATATAGATATTGCGCTAAATATGATTTTATTATAGATGTGCATTGAAAATGATTTTTTATAGAAGTGTACTGAAAATGATTCTATTATAGAAATACATTTACAATCAAGAAGTATGTATTCCAAGTTATGTATTTCTTGAATCAATTATATAAAAATTAGTCTATTAGGAAAAAAATTTCAGAATATATTTAGTATCTATTCAGAATTTTATTTAAAAATTAAAAAAAATACTGAATCTATTATTTATTCAAATATTTTTATTTCAAATTAAATTCTGAATATCTCTTGTATCCATTCAACTTTTTTTTTTATTTAAAATATCAAAAAAGAATACTTAATATCTCAGACATGTATTAAAATTTTTTTTATTTAGAAATATTTTTGAAATATCTCTAGCATCAATTCCAATTTTACTTATGTTGATATCACAAAGAATTTTATTTAAAAGTTAAAAAAATACTGAATCTAGTATTTATCCAAATATTTTTATCTAAAAAAATTCTGAATATCACACGTATCAATTTAACTTTTTTTATTATTTAAAATATCAAAAAAACAATAGTTAATATCTCAGACATTTATTAAATTTTTTATTTAAAAAATTGTTTTTTAAATATCTCTAGCATCAATTCCAATTTTACCTATGGCGATATCATGCTGAATTACCAGAATTTTATTTAAAAATTAAATACTGAATCTACTATTTATTCAAATATTTTTATTCGAAAAAAAAAATTGAATATTACATGTATCTATTCAACTTTTTTTTTTATTTGAAATATTAAAAAAAAAAAAGTTAATATCCCAGACATTTATTCAAATATTTTTATTTAAAAAATTTTTTTGAAATATCTCTAGCATTAATTCCAATTTTGTTTATGGCAATATCACATTGAAATACCAGTTTTCATCGGATCACTGAATTTCAGAAACATCGAACCTGCTCAATGCCAAGATGGGTGACCTCTTGGGAATACCAGGTGTTGTAAGCTTGAATGTACCGGTGGTGTAATGGTTAACGGCTCGCAATGAGAAATCAAAGAGCCAAGACAGATTTATTATAATCACTTACTTGCAAATATCATTGGGAAAGGTATGAACTCTCTTCTTTTCCCTCCAGTTATGGGTTAAATATTAGGACCTGTATAAGAAAATCGTTATTATCTCCCCAAAAATATTATAAACGAAAAATATGTTCCAACTTTAAATAACCTGAAAAAGGGTTGATAAGCCATAAAAAACAAATCAAATAAAATTCAAATTTTTTTGGTAAACATGGACTTTCGTGTCCACAAAAAATGGAGTGTCAAAACAATGTTTTATTTTCATTCATACCGCTTTCATTTTAACTACCTTCACTCCTTGGGTATGTTTACAGTATAAAAAAGCAATGATTACAATTAGATGAGGAACCTAGACTAAAGTAACGTTTTTATTGATGGGATTTTATATGTGCAGGAAGGACCAGGAGAATATAAAAAAGCAAATGTTGGTTATACACAAACAAGAAATGCTGAGAATGTTGGGATAGATAGATAGATAGACAGACAGATAGATATGTATAGACTAAGATAGGCAGATATGTATAGACTCAGATAGGCAGATATGTATTGACTCGGATAGATAGACAGATAGATATATATAGACTCAGTTAGATAGATAGATAGATAGATAGAGAGAAAGAGAGAGAGAGAGAGAGAGATAGAGAGATATAGATAGACAGATAGATATGTATAGACTTAGATAAATAGACAGGTAGATAGATATGTATAGACTTAAATTGATAAACAGATAATGTATAGACACAGATAGACAAACAGATAGATATGTATAGACTCAGATAGATAGATAGACAGACAGATATGTATAGACTCAGATAAATAGACAGATAGATATGTATAGACTCAGATAGACTAACAGATATGTATAGACTCAGATAAATAGACAGATAGATATGTGTAGACTCAAGATAGGTAGATAGACAGATAGATATGTATAGACTCAGATAGACAGATATGTATGGACTCAGCTAGACAGACAGATAGATATGTATAGAATGAGATAGATAGATATCAGTCTACGTTGTCTAAGTCAGTGTTTCTTAACGTTTTTTTCCTTGTGGCCCATTTTTATTTTAAAAAAACTTCAGGTGTGGTAGTAGAAAATATAAATCATGACTAATGACTACACTGTTCCTGGTGTATCCAGGCCCATTTAAAATATTTTCTCAGGGCCACTTTTGGTAACAAGGTCCCACGTTGAGAATCACTGCTCTAAATGCTTATATTGTCATATATCGCTGTTAGTTCATCTAAGCTATTCATTCATTCTCTCTCTCTCTCTCTCTCTCTCTCTCTCTCTCTCTCTCTGGATTTATCAACTAATTTGAAGACTAACATTTTAATCTTAGTAGTTTTAACCTAATCTTCTCAAACATAAATAAACAACATTGGAAAACTTGCAGACCTGCCAAATTTCTGAATTCCTTAGTGGACAAGGCCCTCCCGTGGCTATTGATGAGAGGAAAATATTCAATTTTATTCCTCCCGCATTGCTCAGAACAGCATTTCCTACAATTAATTTTGATAGATTTTTTTGGCAAACATGGACCCTCGTGCCTGCCAAAAAAGATAGATTGTCAAAACAACATTTTATTTCCATTGACACTGCTATTATTTTAACTACCTTCACTCTTCAGCAGTGTTTATTGTTTAAAAAAAAGCAATGTTTACAATTATATGAGGAATCTAGAGGAATGTAATGTTTTTATTGATGGAATTTTATATGTGCAGGAAGAGCCAGGAGAATATCAAAAAACAAATGTTGATTATCCACAAACAAGAACAAGCTTCCATTTTTTTTTCTTTGTCTTCCTGAACCCTGTTCTTTTATTGTCTTTTCTTCTTTCACTCTCAGTAACCCTCTGTGTCTTAGTGACATTATCACATTATTCTTATTCCGTACAATTTCACACCGAGGAACAGACCAGCTTTTCTTGTGCGCCTAAAACCCCAAGAAATTCTTTTTTTTTTCTATATGTATAAAACTTCTAAAAAATGGAAACAAGGGCAAACATGGGCCTTTGTGACTGCAAAAAAAACCCCAAAAAACAAAAAAAAAAAAGTGAAGTGTCAAAAGAACGGTTTTTCTCACGACACCACTTTTATTTTAACTACCTTCACTCTTCAGGAATGTTTATTGTTTTAAAAAGCAGTGATTTGAATTGTAATAAAACCTAAACATATGATGGTGAATTTATACATTTTCTTTGTTCTTGAGAACTGACAACAAAAATAATAAACATCATTTATTTATTATATTGTTTATTGAAATGGTTAGCAAAATATCGTCTAATTGCCAATCGATTCAAACTCTATAAAATGGTAAATAATAAGGATTTCCTTGTAGTTGGTAATATTACTGAGAATGTGCTCACTTGAGATGTGGGGACTTGTTTTTCATCTTATATTGTGGTCAGAGTTGGATAAAATGTATTTACTCTGACTTTTGAATGAAGGTATAATTTAAACGTCTCACAGATAGAAAAAACTTTCTCTCTATCTCGCACTATTTCCTTGCCACAGTATGAAACCACTCACCTTCCTTTCTCTCGGACACCCAGTGTAGATTGAACTCACCACAATAATGATGATACTAATGTCCTGCTAACCATTCTTCCATGGCATATTTTCTGTGAATATCACTTGTACACATGAACAGAATGTAGTACAAAACTTTGGTTAATTCACAGTATACATATCCAAATATATATTACTTTGAGGGAGATGATGGAATTTATATTTTAAGGTAAATAATTTTAGCAATGTTTAAACTTTGTACCCACAAAAAACGATTTGCTAAAAGGACCCTTGACACTGTTATTACAGTATACACTTTTGACAATGTTAATATTTAACAGCCCCCCCCCACACCCGAGGGATGTATGTGGCACAAGGCCGAGTTTACCGTGGGTTCTCAGTATATGTCTTTGTTTTATATTTATATATTAAGTAGATGCAAAAAAAATTTTTTCTTTTCTTTATTTTTTTAAATTAAAACCTGAATGCACAATAGAACAATTTTACATATTTTTATTTTATTTTATTTATTTATTTTTGTAAATTTGTTTTTATTAGATAATAATAATAATAATAATAATAATAATAATAATAATAATAATAATAATACAGGAAACATTTACATACATATACAAAATAAATTAATTGTACACACAAACACATTTGACTATAGACTAATGAAATTTCTTTTTTAAGAGCTTTTCTGGGCACACTATTTACGTTATTTGGACTATTGTCCTCATCTTTGTTGCCATATTTATTACAACGTTTCAGCTGTTGTATGCTCCTGTCTTGTTCAGGTGGTTGGAATGTCGAATTGAACCCTTTATTTCACTCACTGGGGTAGACAGTTCTAGTTACACGTGCCATGTTTAATGGATGTCAGTGAAGAAGGCCGGAGCGTACAATGGCTGAAACGTAATAAATATGGCAACAAAGATAAGGACAATAATCCGAATATTGTAAACAGTGTACATCTCAGAAATAAAGACATACTTTTCTGGGCAATATTTAAGCTTTGTGCTCATAAATAAACAGTATGTCAAAACTCCTTGACACTCCTATTACTGTATGCACTTTTGACTGTGTCGGTAATGTTTATCGTCTTAAAAAGCAATGATTAGAATTTTAATAAAACCCAAACATGAAAATGGATTTATACATTTTATTTATTCTTGAGAACTGACAACAAAGATGTTAAACACTATTTATTTATTAGATTGTTTATTGGAATGGTTGGCAAAACATTGGCTAATTTTCAGTCGATTTGAACTCTATAAAATTGTAAATAATAAGGATTTCCTTATAGTTGGTTCCCATATTTTATTAATTTTTTTAAATGTTTATAAATTTATGAATTAAAAATTATTTTTATAATTACTTCTTTATAAATTGGTAAATTATAAATATTACATTGCATTAGTTCTAATTGTATTAGTTTTTAGAATGTTGTAAACATAAAATTATTCTTGTAAATAAACAATCTAATAAATAAATATAAGTTTAATGTTTTTGCTGTAAATTCTCAAAAAGAAAAAGAAAGTGTATAAATTCACTTACATTATATGTTTAGCATTTATTACAATTCTAATCATTGCTTTTAAAAATAATAAACATGGCCGAGGAGTGAAGGTAGTTAAAACAATAGTGGTGTCATGGGAAAGATTGTTCTTTTGACATTTCATTTTTTTACCGAGACAAAGGTCAAAGTTTGCAAAATATTTTTTTAAAATATATTTTTTTTGGGGAAATAATTTTTGTACATTAATATTCTTTCCACCTTGCTTAGACTATGACACTTGTCAAAATTTAAAAATATTTATTTTTTATCATTTCAGAAGTGGAGACCGTATACGTAATATTGAGATAGTGTTAAATTGACTTTTACAAAGTTATTTACAAAATTTCAAAGTGTGGTAAAATCATATATTTTTTAATTTTCTGAATTTTTAAAACTCTTAACATTTTTTTTTTTACTTTTTGTAAAACATTTTTCTGTATGTGTTTTTTTGAAAACGCAGGCACAAACATTTGAGGTTCAAATTATTTATCTTAAATGAAGAATAAACGAATATACAATTTTATTAATTTTTATAAATTTTTGTTCTTTAGTTAGGAATGAATATAGCCATTAGTTTTTTATTTAAAAGAAATCTTTTTATAACTCCATCAAAAAGTCTGTCTTTGTACGCAAAAGAACTAAGTCTAAAATAACTCTGTAAAAATCAGGGCTTGAGTTGATAATGTATTGATTTTTAAACAGGATTCAAATGCTAATCTATTAAATTAATGACTTCCCAAAAATGTTTCTCTGTTTTTCACAAGCGGACCAGTCTATTTTAAATAGTGTCAGAATATTTCATCTTGACATACAATGCAACCTCAGTTCTCGAACGTCTCACATGTCGAACAAATCGGTTTTCGAACAGAAAATTCGAGATGAAAATGCCTCGGTTATCGAACAAAATTTCGGTTCATGAACAACATGGCCGAACCGAGTTAACCAGAACGGAATAATTTCTGAGTCGACTGCCATGTTGATATGAGTTCTCAATTTTTATTTAACGCAAAATATGATATGAGTTCTCAATTTTTATTTAACGCAAAATATGATATGAGTTCTCAATTTTTATTTAACGCAAAATATTATATGAGTTCTCAATTTTTATTTAACGCAAAATATGATATGAGCTCTCAATTTTTATTTAACGCAAAATATGATATGAGTTCTCAATTTTTATTTAACGCAAAATATCACAAAATATGAAACAACAAGAATATTTATATTTAATGATGTACACAAGAAGACGTTACTATTTTTGTTGGTGTTATGTCCCTTTGACTGAATTAAAGTTTTTGCTAATGAAATTGAAATATTTTTATCCGTGCTCACAAAAGTTGAACTTGTCGCTCAAAACGTTCACACACTGTTAGAGAGTTGAAAGAATTATAAAGCTGAGAAATGCTGAATAAACTTTTAGCTTTGGAAGAGTACTTTTAAAGAGAAAAGTTCTTGTTGCTGGTTTGGAAATGTTTCGTATCTTTGTAATGTAGTTTGTAAAATTTTGTACGTACGTGCATGTGTGCGTGTGTGAATATGTTTTCTAAGCATCTGTCCACACATGATCAAGACACAAATCCTTTATGGTTACATTTTTGTAGGCGAATGAAATCAATGTTTATTGTAAATTAATACAAGTATGGCACAAGGCCGAAAAGAGGGGAATGGGTTGAGGCTGGTCTTCACTAACTCTTATACCTAGCTAATCAGATTCACGACCCAAACTCGTGTCTGATATTTATAATTAATGTAACCATGTGACAGGATCCTGGAA